AAAGTGCGCGGAAAGAGTCAAGAGGTGGGCAAAACAACATAATGCATATATATATATAATATATATATATATACATATCAAATTCTGATTCTGCTTGGCTATCGGTGTCGACATGTTGCAGGACATGTCCTGAGGTACTAGAAGAGGTCTCCTGGACCCCTGAATGCTTGATTGAACTCAAAACTGATTAGACAGTTAAACAATCATGATATTTGGACAACGATACCACGCAACGTTCACACCGTGTCGGCCGTGTGTCGGCTAAAGACGGTCCACCTAGGATTCCAGTGAAAAATTTCACACGTTGAGTCGAGTTTCCCCTCCGTTCACCTTCATGAATCCAACTGGACTTGTGGAATCAATCCTCATAGGTCCTCATCCCAGGCTTCGCCAACTCAGGTCCCAGGCTTTGCACGATCCAACAGCGACCACATTATTCAGCCGGCGCAAAACCACTTTCCGGCACTCCAGCTGGTTTGGAGGAGGAAAAGAACTTTCGCAACATGCCACACTGCATCCAGGCAGAATGTACACTTTCCGGCACCCAAAAGTATTGGGAAGTAGGAATGCTCATAGTGCTTCGGGTGGTTCGATTGGCCTGTTTGGTTGCCTTTTGGAGGTAGAATCGTCGAATGAATGGTTCACAGACTGGGCTAGTGAGATGGAGATGCCCAGGCCCACACGTGTTCACATGTCAAACGCATCACACCTCAAAGACATATGCGATGTGCATGGATCATCGACCACTTCCAGGCAAAGTGTCCTCGTGGGGTGAAACCACACAACCAATGGCCGACCGGGGCCACCAACCGGGCCGACCGAAACCCCAACCGGGCCGACTGCGGAATGGCCTCCAACCTACTAGCGATGGCCTCCAACCGAGCATAGCGATCGCTTACCAAAAGGAGAAGAAAGTCCCTGCATGCAGGGCTGCCCACGTGGCGATTCCATGCCGCGCGCCGTTGCATGTTTTACGGTTGAGGAAAGCAGAGTTGCGTGCTGCAGAAGAAGAGGTGGACATCCAGCGCAACGAGATCAATCGCAGAAGACGGTGCCTGAGAGTGCATAGGCTACACTCCGACGAACACACCACATGGAAGTGGACAACCCATGAAGGAAAGTTGTATTCCTTTCGGGACCATTTTCATCCACTTCCATGTGATGTGTTAGTCAGAGTGTAACCTTTCAGATTTTGAGCACTGGCACCACCTCCAAACTGGCTCGTTCGACATCCCCGAGTCTTCCTCGAGTCTTCCCTGCAACCTCGATGTTCACGAAGTTCTTTGCTTTCCCAGTAGTGCACCAGTGGTACTGCGAAAAGTGCCCATCTTGAATTTCAAAGAGATCCTCGCTAAACGTAGCAGGTCTTTGGCAATGCATATGAGTGTCGATCCAGACTTTAGAGGGGGCTATCGACTGAAGCTCTTTGACACTGCCGGGCCAGCCATTCGATGGATGTTTTTGGCGACCTTTTGCCGCTTCTTGGCCATTATTCTACTGCCCTTTGTCGCGGTGAAGTTCACCAAGTGCACCAGCGACCGCACCTTCGCAGAGTACGAGCCGTGGCTATGGGGCCCGTGTGGCGTTTGGATGCTCCTTATGCTGTTGATAGCTTCAAAGCTGCAAGGAAGAGACCAAGAGATACACCCTGGAAGACTAACATGGAACCTGAAAACAATCAAGACAAGTTTGGGTATTCAGTTACCATCGCTGCCCGAATGGGATGCAGCAGACCATGCAAGAATAGTAGATGATGCATGTTTCATTTATATTACGTTTAAAACATAATTTGCTAGTTGTGCTACTGAGCTTAAGCCCTTCAGAGCCCGGCCGCAACTGGAGGAATGGAAGTGCTTTACCTTTGTTGTTGCGCCCATGCTGGTTTGGCTGAAGGAGTACAAGATCTTCAAGTGGAAAGTGCGGTTTAGATTCTGGTTGCCGTCCATGCTCCTTGGTTGGCGAATACACTTACACGAAATCAGGGCCTTTGCCGTTCAGATTCCGATACATGTTTGGGTGGAACGAGACCTGATATCGCGCAGATATATGCAGTGTGCCCCCCATACGATTGTTGCAGCTAAGGCTGTTCTTGTCCGTTGCTTGGCGCATGGACGTTTGGTCACAGGGATTAAGCTTGGCAACCGCTTGGCGCTCCCATGAATGCTCAGGCTTGGAGGACTCGACGCACCCGGAGAGTCCATCCGATACGTGGGTTTGTCATACCACCAGTGTGGGCAAAAGACGTTGAACTACTGCAAAATGTGGACCGTTTTCCCTCTATAACGTTTCTTTTTGTTTGTTTGTTTGCTGCTTCGGTTGGATGGGTAGGGTGGCTAGGGCGAAGCGGAACGGTGTTGCGGTGAACGGTCGATGTTGAGCGTGCCTCGTTGATTCCGTCCATCACTGTGCTCCCTGTTGTGGCCCTCTGAGAAGTGCAAACTTCTTAATACATCTTGCAGCCACAAGCAAAGGTGTCTGTTTGTAGTCAACATATGTGGGTCAGCGTGCGCCTGGTAACGGTATACGGGCTCCTCACAGGTGCCATTGACAGCTTCTGGATCAGGATGAAGGATGCTATTCCCTCATTTGTTTGGTTCCAAAGTACCCACATACCAATGGAAGAAACAGGTTCCAAAAGTTATGATTCTGAGGCGGTGCAAAGTTCATCAAAAGCAGCAAGACGGCTGAGAGACGAAGTCCCGCCACTGCTGCGCCTCGTGTGATTACATGAGCCCTGAGGTTGTCAACATGGAGGCCTAAGTCTAGAGAGGCAACGTAAGACCCACGTCACCAGCAGTGCAAGGAAACAAGGACTTGACCTTTTCCTTGCACAGCTTCAAGCTTGCTCGAATAACTGAAGAATTCAGATTTGTGGGCGTTTGAATGATTTAACTTCTCGGAAGTGTTGTTGTTGGGGTCTTGACCGTCTTTTTTTGCAAGCTCCTGTCTTTGTGTACTCGCCTTGCTTCTCCTGTGCTTGCTTGACGCTATTTGTTTCATTTGAGCTTTCCTAGCTTCTCCACTGACATATATATGTATATAACTACTATATGTTGTTTAGTTTGTTTTCTGCTGCTTTTCATCTTTTCCTGTTTTCCCTTGTCTCCTTTCTTGCTTTTTCTGCTTCTACTGCTTTTCCTGCTGAAACTTATGCCCTTTCTCAGCAGTAGGTCAGCCTTGAAGGGCTCAAGTAGCCCGCTATTACTGGCATGTGCGCAAACATGGTGGTAGCAACCCAGGCAAGCTACCAGATATTGGGTCGGACTCATATAGGGGGGGGGTTAATGGTTGGGAGGGCGAGGTGGGTGCGCCAAGTGGATCTGTCCTGACCTTTTCCTTTCCTCCGCTCCTTCTCCCTTTCAAAAGGCGCCACTCCACAAGGTAGGTTCTTGTTTTGCCTTCTGTCCTTTGTTGCCAGGTTGTTTGCTCCCAGGTATGTTGCCTGTCGTTGTGTTTGCAAAGTCCTGCGGACACAACGTAGAGAATGCGAGCGGATGTGCATGGTTGCGCTGCCAAGTTTGCGCACAATAGCCACAGCCTTGTACAGCTGCTACAATTTACCAGTGCCATCCTGCCACAGAGCCGTGTTTCGACGTGTATAAAATGTATAGCATGTTTTGGTTCAAAACGCTGTAAGTACCAAGAGTTTTGTTCTCCAGCACGGTTGAGCAAAGATGACACAAATTACTGTAACTTGATACACACACACACATGCCCGGCAGACGAAACAAGATTCGCAAATTATATGCACCACCATCTTCGGACCCTCCCGAGATGTGAAGCCCAGTTGGTCCCTTTTGTGGTTATCGTTTTTGGGACACCTCGAGCCTCGGGCTGTTTTCGGATCGTTTTGAGAGTAAACTCTAGCTGCACAGGCCATCACAAGCTGGAGATAGTTTGGGAAGAGGCTTGGAAAGAATCCTTTGTCTCCTGGTTCCATCCAGGGAAAAACTTAGAATTCATCGCCGGTTGCTTGGGCAAAAACACATCCATTTTTCTTTTGGCCAGTGAGATCCGGTTGGTCAGAAACTAGGGAATGCCACATGCTAAGTTTGAGGTTGGTGTTTCAATGTTCTCTTCATGTTCTGTGGCATTAAATAAGTTACATACCATGTGTTTTTTTGATAAAGGGTTCCCAGCCAGTTCTGGCTCTGGCCATCATATTGAACTTTGTTGCGTTCAGGTAGTGGCTGGTCCACTGAAGTTTGTGGGAAACGATATTGTTGACTGAATCCGTTGGTTCAATGTTGGTTTTCTGTGTCCGGTGAGGTTTAGCATGGTTTGTGCTGTTGATGCAATTGCTTCTATACTTTTCAAGGGCTGTTCCAACAAGAATCGTGGATTACAGTTGCGGTTCAGAACAACGTGGCTACATTGCCCCACTGGGCTGCACGCGCATTTGGCATGCGGATGCCTTGAAGACATTTGCAAGTCTAAACAATATGAGCATGGTCTTGGCCAACCAGCGTCGATACAGCACCGCGCGCGCGGACTGGAAGTTGATGAGTGGCGGCCATGAAGAGGAGTTCTTCCGGATTCTGAAAATGGACATGCGAAGTATGGTTTGGGACATGGCCTTTCAGAACCTCCTACTGCCCTGTGCAAAGCTGCAGGCCCAAACTGCCATGTTTGCACTTCTCTTGCACATGGATAAAGACAAGGCTGGGTCAGGACGTCAAATTGTGTGAAAAGTGGTTTCCTAGCCCATTCAGGACCCCCTAATGGGTGGTACAAGCTCGCATGTCCAGTGATAAGCACGTTGTGTGCTTCACACGATGAGAAGACTCAGTAGGTGTTCCAAGTGACGTAGTTGCCATCAACATGCGAGCGACCCCCAGTCACTAAGAAGAGAAATGATGGTGGGTCTGAAGACCACCACCCAAAATACAACATCCATGGATTATGAAAATCACAGGATCCAGAAAGACTTTCTTGCTTTTGTTCTGTCTTTGGGTGTTTCATGTGGTGTCTAGGGTATGGAGCTCTGAGCTCCACTAAACTTAACAGACTTAAGCTTGTCCATTGCAGTCGTGTAGCCTTGAGGCGAATTTGCTTCGTATCGCAACCCAGCACTGGCAGTCTTTGCTTTGCCTATGCCTTTCACATTTGACTTCGACTATGGCGCTCTTCAACGCGGGCACAGTCTTGCTGCAAGTGAAGGAAAGCAGAGTTTATACCCGCAAGGACCCATAGTCTTGGTTTCATGAGATGGCAAACATTGCGTGTTTGCCTTGAGCTGTTTTTAGATAGACATAATCAGGGCCTACGCCCATGGCAGTGTTATCACTTTAAAACAATTACAGTTCAAGGCAAACAGTCTTTTTAGATCTTTTTTGGGTATGTTTTTAGAGAGTGGCAGGCTGTGGGAGTGCACCTTTTTAGAAGATTGAATGTGATTGAAGATATGTATGCACCAGTTTTGTGGCTTATCAGAATCTATATAGTGTCAAGTTCCTTTTGAGTCTGGCCCTCTTGTGATGGCAGAGATAGAAGGTTTAAAAATGATCATTTCCTTGTATATTGCATTTTACCTTTTATGATGCCCTTTCATTTGTCCTTTAAATTGAACAATTCCTTTCATTTTCCTTTACAACATGATTCATCCCTTCCATATGTCATTTTCCCTTTTGTGAACCCCTTTCAACCTGCAATTTGTATACTGTCCTTCAATTTTCCTTTTACATATGATTATATAATTGTTGGCACTTTCCTTTTAAATTTGATTAATATCTCTAGTTTGTTCTTAACAATGATTTTTTCCTGATATTTTCCTTTTAAACATGATCTACTCCTTTCATTCATCCTTTGCACATTATTAATTCCTTTCATTTTCCTTCTAAAAAATAACCATTTCCTTGTATATGTCATTTTCCCTTTTATGATTACCTTTCATTTTCCCTTTTAAATTGAACAATTCCTTTCATTTTCACTTTAAAATAGATCATATCCTGTCATATTAAAGAGAAATTAATCATTGTTAAAATGAAAGGACTTGTTCATTTTCAAAAGGCAAATGAAAAGAAGCAACACATATTTAAAGGAACATAGAAGAATAACTAATTGTTTAAAGAGAAAATGAAAGGAATTCATCATTATTAAAAGGACATATATAGAAATCAAACACATCCAATCATTTCTAAAATAAACACAACAATAATCATTGTTACAAGGACAACAAAAGGACATACTCACTTTAAACTAGACGTAATTGTAATTTGTAAGGGAACATAAAGGAAACTAATGATATTTAAAAGGAAATACCAGGAACCAATCATTCTGAACAGGAAATTAAAGAAAGTAACCGTTTTAGAAAGGAAAAATTGCAAGATTTAAACTTTAAAGGAATCAACTATTCGTTAACATGAAAAATAAGCAAATGCAAGAAAAGACAATCATCTAAAACTGAAAAATATGTGAAAATAATCACGCAATGTAAAATAATCATGTTTAGAAGAGCAATGCAAATAAATAATCATTCATCAAAGGAGATAAAAGGAAATAATCGATTTTAAAAGAAACTGCACACCTCATGTCTGAAGTCTTGGATGGTTCATGGCGTCTGCAGTTTTGTTCTTTGTTTTTTCCAGAACCTCGAGAAAAAAAAAAAGAACAATATTCAGAGAGTCTTGGCTGGGACCCCCCCTCCAGAGAGTCTGGAAAAAAGTTGTTTTTCGATGTTTTTGGCTCCCCTCTTAAAAATGGCTCCTTCTTCCATGTCATTTTCCCTTTTATGAATCCCTTTCAACCTGCAATTTGTATAATTTACTTCAATTTTCCTTTTAAAACTGATTATATAATTGTTTTCATTGTCCCTTTAAAATTGATTAATACCTTTGTTCTTAAACATGATTATTTCCTGTTATTTTCTTTTGTAAAATTATATATTATATATTCCTTTCATTCATCCTTTGCAAATGATTAATTCCTTTCATTTTGCCTTTAAAATCTAGGCCTATTGCTAGTGAAAAGAACGTGAAAAACTGCACTCCCAGGAGCTGCCGTTCTGTTTTTTAAAGGGGCCTGCGCCCATGTGCTCGGTCATATGCCCAAAGCATCCTGCATTTTTGGGTGTTTTTTAACGCTCATCCCTGGGTCCGCGCGCAGCCACAAAGAGTTGGGTCGGCTGAAAACGCGGAGAATGTGGCATGCAACGAGCTGAAAGCACTGTCAGGTGCAAGTTGCTTTTTGCCTCTCCCCGCAGTGTCAGTATGCGTACCCTCAATACAAAGTCTCCATTTTGTTGTTTTTTTTTTCAGGTCTCTCACGCACCCAAAAGTGTGTAAACCGCAGCACTGAAGGACCTCGGCGGGAATCGAGCCCAAAGACTTGACAGTCTTGCTGCCCTTTCGACCGCTGCAACGTCAATGTTGCACCAAGTTTTGGGTAATCCCGCGGCAACCGACATGGCCTTCAGCTCACTGGGCTCCCTATAAGAAAATGCCGTCCCCTCTCTGCTCACCTGCAGGTTCATCGTCCTAGCTCAACTATGTTGAAAGCACCCAAATTCAGTTGATTCATTGATGTTTCATCGGCTAGATCTTCTGCAGGACTTCAAAACCTCTTGAACTATCCATGGACCTAGTGCGTCATGTCGCAGCTCCATTTTTAGAGCTGTGAACAAACTGGAGCTCAACGAAAAAGCCCCTGTAGAAAGCCGGTGTCTTGTTCCATGTTCTCACCTGGCCATACTTGGAACTTAGAGTTGGACTCAGTTTGCAGCGCAAGAGGAGCGAGCTAAGAAGATGGACAGTGATGCCTGGAATGAGTACGGTAAGATGGCACATTGGGAGAGATTGGCCTGGCTAATTGTGGGATTGCAGTTGCTATCAGAGCTCTGGTTCGCCTGCAAGTTGATGATGGCCTTTCGCTGCGAGAGTTCCTTGTGGAATTTGCCACCCATCATCACTGGAAGCTGGAACATTATGGAGGGTTGCTATGAGCTGGCCACAGATGCCAAAGGCGGGATGGCTCCAGGAAACTACTGAGAAACCAGAGTCTACGGGAAAATGGACGAAATCAATTGGTTGGCGGCCCATTTGATGTGAGAAACACGTGAAGCGGTGGGTGAAAATCATCCCAAACTACCATTGACCGATCTTGAGACCCTCGAATGAGGTCACAGGGGTCACAGGTATACCCTGAAACGACCACAGCTTATAGCTCGTCTACCCCGATACGATTTGCGTACCGGTTTGATCCTCTTTTGGGATCCCGGTGTAGATTGTATTCATGACAGTTTTTGACTCTTCTGTTCATTAACAGTTAAGATGAATGGGTGACAATTCTGGAATGAGCACGAATAAAGTGACAGTGACTGGGATTGTTCGCCAGTGGCTCCCTTGACTTGATTGGTATTCCACAGTATATACTTTGGTTAGAATCACTCCGACGAACTACAGCGCTGGCCTGGCACTTAGGATTTAAATTGATATAATTTCTATGTATGATATCTTCACTTTCATAGTACCACTTTGCCACTCGTGTTCCACAAGCAGCGTGCCCTTACAAACACGGGTGTTTTCGGCAACAGTCCAGAGAGAAGAGAATCTGATTCTGCCCTCAGTTTCCCTGGTCAGGCTGAAACTGACCCAGCCGAGACTCAGCGCACTCCGTCTCACCGGTTAGAAGATCTCGCCGCTTAGAACCCAAATGGGTTTGACATCAGTGCCTAATGCTACTGAGCCCAAAGATGACCCCAGTAGCTGGGTGCGACCGACACGCCGACACACGCAATGCGTGGACTTAAACCGGGCACGCGAGTAGGTCTTGTGATTCGCATGGGTCTGTAGCCTGAGGGAGCCATATGGATACCACTCAATGGCAAGGCAGATAAGATATGAATAGTCACTGTGGTGACCAGTTTGACAGTGCCTCCACCAATCAGTGGACCTGGTACTACGCCATGATCAAACGCTATCGGATGCCATTCCTTGGTTCCAGTGACAACAGATTCACAAGACACATGCACGTGATGCAATAGACCTCTGACGAAGCCCTCAACACCATGGAATGACCACACAGGTTCATGTCATTGTTAAGAGGCTTGGGTAACATATCAGTGATAAAACGCAACGAGCAGGTGTGTCAGTTTCAGGCGTTTTGAGTCGTAGACTACAACAAGAACCAGCAAAATGAAACCAGAAGCAGCACTAGCACAAGATGAGCACCCCGGCCACGCTTCCACCCTGGAGTCGATGTACTGCTTGAGAGGATTGACGCATGGCTTGCCTACGCTGTGCGCGGGTGAAAACCCTCAATCAATCAGTTCAGACTGACCCGTTCCCAGCAAAGCCGGAAGCGCCAAGGCCGTCGGAGCCAGAGGCTGTGGGGATAGAATCTGGTGTTGGGGAGGAGACAGGTAGAGCCAGAGCCAGCCAGGTATGGTGGCAAACATTCTTTCGCATGGACTCCTCATTGTAGAGTTTGGGACCTAGCAACCAGCAATCCCAAGATGTCCAAAGTCCAAAGCTGACAAAACCAAAAGGGGCGAAAGACCCAATTCGCATCCAGTTCGCATCCAATTCGCATATGCCATATGCGATATGGATCTTTGCGTTATGGATCTCTGCCTTTCGACACTTACCTCCACGGCCATCGACTCTTACCCGGTGCTTCAACCGCGGCCTTCGGGTGCCGTTGATGCTTTTCGATGCGGTTCGAACGGCTTCGAACGGCCGTCTCTTTGGAGAGGTCAGAAGAGAAAAGTCAACCGTGACCTGGGCCGACTCTGAAGGAAGTTCTGGCACCATTGAAGAAGGTAAAGGAGAAGAAGAAGGACAAACACAATGAAGGAAATAGGATTGAGAAATCGAGTTCCTTCTTTCTGTTCTTTTCTTTTCTTCAGATATTTTATTCCTTTCCTGTTTGCCAGGAGCAGAACGAAGAGAAGGTTTCCAATGGACGCCAACGTTCACATCAGACTTCAGGCAGCTTGTGGAGCTTGTGCAGAATCACCCGAGGAAACCCATTGAAAGGGATATGCCTGTTTGTGGGGACAAGAAGCAAAAGTCAGTGTGACATGTGTTTCATAATTTTCATAGTTTGTTGAGTTGGTTAGCACCGTGCTGACACGGGGGTTGCCAAGAAGTTGAGGGTTAAGACAAGGGTTGGTCATGTTTCCTTTTGAGGATTGGTCTTTACAGACTGACACTTTTTGCTCCGGGGGATGGTCTTGATGTTTGTGTATGTGTACATGAGGACACATGATACTTCTGAGCTTTCCATCCTCTTTTTACTAAGAGTGATTTGATTCTTTTAACATCACTGATGATGCATTCAATTTTGCCGGATACCATTCGTCTGCTCGGTCTCAAGTTGTCTCCCTCAAAGGGCTATGCAGGCCATGCCTACTTTGTTGGGGGCAAGCAACGGTAGTGAGTGTTGGAACAAGACTCTATGGATGACGGTTTGGCTTCATCTGGGGAATTTTGCCCTGACAAAGGGGCCCGAGCCAGGATCGGCCTCGGCGAAAGATTCCCTGACTTCTTGTGCAAGATGACCAGTGAGAGGACAGCAGGAGGCTGCTGTTTTTGGTGGAGTTGTAATTGTAGTAGAAATCGCCCATGGATGAAAGGGGAGACGTACCAGTACCACAAACCACTAGTGACCAGTGAATAGAGAAGGCCGTAACTCCTGTGCAACGGTGCCGTCCCCCCGCAAAGCTGCCGCTCACGGTGCCGTCCCTTCCCAGTCGAACGTAGGCTACGAGGCTACTTTTGAAGTACCACCACCATTTGTCGTTATGAGTAGGGAGTTATGAGGGTATAGACTTGACCTCCTGGAGGATTTGCATCGATTTTCAAAAAGAACACCTGAGGATTTGATCGCTACAGTGATAGATATGATCAGTTCAACCAGGCCACATGAGGCTGGCCAGGGGCGACGAAACCGACAAAAGAAATTGGGGACGCCTGTTACTGATTATATGTGGCTTTTCTGTTTCTGGGATGTTTCCCTACAGTTACTAAGAATTGTCACCCGAGTTCTTCGTTCTTTATTGGCTTCAGGGTTGGGTAGTGGCCGCAAAGATAGCATTAAAGCTTCAGAGCAGAAGAAACAGAGCTGAACAAAAGGGTTCGACAGACCCCCGTTCCATCTTCAGGTGTGAACGAAGTGAAGTTTCATGACCTCTTGAAGAGGGAAACATGCAAGTGGACAGTGCTGCTTTCCTTCACGAAGGACTGGGCTCGTGCTTGCGAATGATATTTCTTGAAATAAACATGAATTCCAGAAAAACAACGTCTCTCTTTCCTATGATTTCCAGCCCTTTCGCGCACTGGTACTAGGCAATCTTTGGCAGGGCATAGTTTCCAAGCATGTAGTATCCTTGTCATTCGACGAACTTGCGCTCACATGGCCACATGGTGTTTTGTGTTTATCGTGATGTGGTGTTGGTCATGCGGTGAGTGTGTCGTGATTTGTGATGCGGTGCAGTGAGTTGTGATGTGATCAATTGCAAAGTGGTGAAGATGAGGTTATGTGTGATAGGTGTGTGGCGTGTCATGAGGTGTGTGGCGAAGTCTGATGTGGTAACATGTGACCGTTTTGAGGTGGCCATATGGGGAAGTGTCGTGGGATGCAGGATTTCACAGCCAACCTTACGACCTTGTCAGGAGTACCTTCCCAGAAAAGGAGCTGAATTGGTTGTGGGAGGACAGGATTCTGAGAGGGAAGATCGTGTGAAGAAAGTGCGGAGCTTCCGAGATGAAATCCGCAAACTCTTTCAACAGAAGGGCGGTGTGGGAGACTCAGACTACATGTCAAAGTGTGTGACAGAGAGATTCATTGGCAGGGATTTGTATGTGATGCATTCCGTGCACATGTTGCGTTCTGTGATGAAATATCAGGCGTTGCTGTTGCCCATACTGTCAAACAACAATTGGTTCAACTAGCGTGATGCGCCCCCCACATTTTGCTTCTTCCTCATCCTCATTGTCATACATCAACACATGTTCATCGTGCTTGCAAGATGTTCTCGCTTTTGTTCGCTACATTGCTGTGTTTTCCCCATGCTCTGATCGTTTTCACCACATTCTCATCCGCTTCAGATCGACTTCAGTCGATTTCACATCGACTGTCATCGGTTTCACGTGCCATTCTCAAACATAGCACTCATCGGTTTCACATGTCTCCCATCTCAGAATCTCATGATCATGTAAATCCATATTTTTCCAATCGCCGTGCGGGCCTTGGAGCGGATGCTGGACCTTGCAGCCATCCTTCTATCCTCCACCAGGGACAACAGCACTCTGGACTTTTCCTCATGTCTTCCAAGCATGTTTGAATGAAGAGTGAACAGTGAAGAGTGGATATGCCATGCCCAAGACCATATCCACCAGGTCAAATATACACATTCACATTCCATATCATTCCATCATGTGTGGTCTAGACCCGTCCTGGTGTAGATCCAAGAAGAAGAGGCCCGAATTCCGCCCCACGAAATCAATGAAATCAAAGACCGTTTTCTCAGCCCAAGCTGCGACGTCTTCCGACTGAACGCACGATCGCTCGTTTCTTGGAGGGTGAGAAGCACAGACGGAGGGAGAAGCACATCGGACGGTTTTCTCGGCCCTGAGGTGCAACTGATTGGTTTGCACCTTGGAGAGTTGGATGAGAAGTTGGCCAAGGAGGGCCTGTGGAGTTGGTCTGTGGCTGGTAGGGTAGGGAGAGCTTGCCGTTGGGCTGGTTGGCACTCGTATCTAATGTTGCTGGGCGCAGCGTGGGTATCTGTAGTATTTGGCCAAGTGAGCAGTATTCCTCTACTGTTCCATGTTTTTCAGGGATGCTTTATTTTGGAGATGTTCATTCACAAATGCTTGCAGGACCTGGACTGCGACTTGATTGCTGATGAGGACGGTGAGGTTGCCTCGCACCTGAAGATTCTTGTGGCTTTGCTGAACACTGAATATGCAACAAAGCAAAGTTGGGGCCCGGGACACCGATTCAGGATTCGCCCCCCATTGGTTTGGTGTGTTTTTGCTCCTGATAAGCCATTGAAGCAGCCTGATTTGACGGAAGGGCCTCAGGTTTTTGAAGCTGCTTGACCGATGAGTAGCCAACAGTTATCAAAGTTCATAAGCCCTTGCCGCACTAGTACAGTATAGCATTACAGTATACTACCCGCGACAGACATAGGATTTGTCGGAGGTATGCTCAAGAACACAACTCCCATGTCATGAGGAAAGAGTAAAATGCGCCAAAAGCCACTAAGTCCTGAGTCATGATGCCAAAACTAGCAAAATCAGGAAACTTACAACACCCTTTTTAAGGATTCCTGGAATTGTAGAAATGCAGGACAAAACGCATGACTGGAGATTTGTGCGCCAAAACCAACCTTCTGGCAAAGCCAGGACAAAGGAAGAAGCTGGGTTTAAAGTCTAAATAAAGAGGCCGTCCTATGTCATGTTCATGGCGAGGCAAAAATGGTACCAACAAGTCCTAAGTCATTGGTCCTCAGTATAAGCCATTTGTAACCTTCTCGTGGTGTATATGTAATTTTATTTTACAGTGGTTTCAACTCGTGTCACACACTGAGATAAAGAGCTCAACTGAATGAGCAAAATTTCAGAAGCTGGGTCGACGAACTCATTAGCTCTTGACTGCGCAACACCGAATGGGAACAGCTTGTGCTATACCTAGGTTCTCAAAAGACTTAAGTGCAGGTACGTCGAGAGAGAGAGAGAGAGAGAGAGAGTCCCCTCTCAATATCCTAGTCTGAACCTGAAGCTTCGTTGGCTCACGCCAGGAACAGACCCGTGAGCGCCCTGCGATATGGTTTCATCAAAGAGCTCTTAGAAACAGAGCAGGGCACACTTATGGATATGCGTACGGAACTGACAGCGGTGCCACACGCCAACCTAGGTTAAAAAAGGGGCCTGAGTAAAACGAGGCACAAAAGTTGGAGGCCATCGCTCTTAGGTTAGAGGCCATCGAAGGCAGGTTGAGAGGCCATCGCTAGTAGGTTGGTGACAAGAAACAAGACAGCAAAACAGTCAAAGCAGTCAAAGTTGGAGGTCCTCTCACTTAGGTTGGAGGCCATCGAAAGCAGGTTAAGGGGCCATCGCTAGTAAGTTGGTGACAAGAACCAAAACTACAAACCGTCAAAGTTGGGGGTCTTCGCTCTTAGGTTGGAGGCCGTCGAAAGCAGGTCGGGGGCCAATGCTAGGAGGCTGGTAACAAGAAGCACAAGAAACTCAAGACACGCAAGACAGCAAAGGTTGGGGCCCATTCTAGTGGGTGGAGGCCAAAGTTCGGGTGGAAGATCTCCATTACAAAGTTGGGAGGCCTACCTGCAAACCTATTGGGTAGAGTAGAGGAAAACAGAAGGAAAGGCACAGACACACAAGTGTGTCGAGTACCATTTCCTCCTGTTTTGGAACAGGTACAGAAGTTTGCGTCCAAACTTCCATCCAGTCGATTTCCATAGCTTCATTGGCGTGACTAGGAAATCGACCGTCACGCCCCCTGTTCCAAACCTAAAGGTTCCCTTTGATTCCAAGGGATACACACGCAGTGTGCCGTTTTCCGGCGCCCTGAGATTTTTCGCGCAAAATGCTTGCAATCGCTCGGTGGGGGTGGTGTGGTGGGTCGACTAAAGGAGTCTCAAGAGCGACCGAACAAAGCTGAAAAAAGACCGCAACAAACAAAAGAAAACGCAGGAGAGACAGGGGCAGGTGGGGGGGTTGTGTGTGGTGTGTATGTGATCGACACTTGGTCGACACTTGGCCATAAAGCCGATTCCGGCGCTCCCTTGAGTGAAAAACGCGACAGTTACACTTCAAAAAGCCCCTAATTAGCAACGAACGAACACCTAGAAAGAGAAAACGAAGAAAAGAGAGAAAGCGAGTTAAAAAGGGGACTGATGCACGAACTAGTCAGAAGCGTGCACTGAAATATTAAAAAGCTGAGGTAAGTTGTTTCCGTGGACTCGGCAGTATCATTCCGCCTTTTCGTGCAGGAAAGCTCTTTGAGAGGCTGAATCCGGCTGCAACGAGAATGTTCTATTGGCTTTGAAGGGTTGAAGCGAGCGCCGCGAAGGGATCACACGGCACACCACAGTGGGAAGATGCCGCTGGACACACTGAGATAAAGAACTCAACTGAATGAGCAAAATTTCAGAAGCTGGATCGAAGAACTCATGCGCGCTTGACTGCGCAACACCGAATGGGAACAGCTTGTGCTATGCCTAGGTACTCAAAAGACTTAAGTGCAGGTACGTCGAGAGAGAGAGCGTCCCCTCTCGATATCCTAGTCTGAACCTGAAGCTTCGTTGGCTCACGCCAGGTACAGACCCGTGAGTGCCCTGCGTTTCATGAAAGAGCTCTTAGAAACAGAGCGGGGCACACACACACAGCCGCCAACCTGGTTTGTCCAAGGACCCTTTGGCTGCTTTGTCCGAAAGGAGGCGGCCAGGATACTGGCGGCAATCATCAATGAGAGCACCGTGGCATACCAGCGGTTTTGCATCGTTTGAGGCAAGACTTCCAAACAATACATAGGAGCAAGAGGAGGCCCCCAAATATGTGTGTTTCCATACAACCCCCAAGTGAGGCAATTGCGTCCACTTCGTTGTGTCCATGGCCTTGAACGTGCTCAAAACGCGGGTTTTATGTTTTCTTTTTCAGAGAGGCGAGTGTGGAACGGTGAATGTTAAGATTCTGTAGTGTTTTATATAATGTATATCTGTAGAGTAGAGGTGTTTTCCCTAGAAGAGGCCTTGATTTCAAGCATGGGTATTGTTGCCCAATTGTTTTCTAGAATTGGGGAAATCTTCTTGAAAGGGCATTGTTTTCAATAACAGATCTTTTTGAAGGAAAGTGCATTTTTCTTGAAAAGAACGTGTCTCCAGACTAGGCACTGCTTTGAAACAAGGGCATTGATTTCTAGAATGCATTGTTTCCTTGAAAGGACATTTTTTATAGAATGGGCCGTGGGCATTGTAAAGTTAGGTAGGCATTGTTTTCTGGAATGGGCACTGTTTTCCAGAATGGCCACTGTTTTCTGGGATGGGCGTTGTTTTCCAGAATAGACGTTGCTTTCTAGAAGGGGACGTGTTTTCTAGAAACACATGTTTTATGCCAAGATATTGTTTTGTCGAAATCACCTTGTTTTCAAGAAGAGAGAGAGGAAGAGAGAGAGAGAGAGGATTGTGTGTGTGCGTCAAAAACACACTTGTAAAGCTTGGTGTTTTCTTTGTTTTGCTGTTGGCGTTATATTGTTAGACATTGCTTTCATGGAAGAGTAATCTGCAGTTCGCATCTGCCTGCAACCTGAAGAATCTGAAAACATTTACATGCTCTATGTATATATAGTATTCTCCAATCACATCTGCAGTTTGCCAGAGACTTGTGGAATATCTTGGTGGGGAGCAAGCAAGAAACAACAATGCTTTGCAGAAAAGTGTGCCCAGCCCCCTGCTCAAGGTTTTCCCCGAGGTTTGGTGTATTCTTACTTTTGGCTTGCTTTCCAGCAAGTTGCTCAGATGCATGCATTTGTTCGCAAATCACAATTTTCACGCCTCCGCTCCACCTGCCATGAATTGTCCTTTTGGTAGCATCTCATTTTCATTTCAGAACTGACCTTGTTTGCAGGCCCAGTACGCAAGGTACGGCCGAACTTTATATTAAGAAATCTGATTCTTTGAAGTAGAGTCTAGAATGTTTTTTTGATGGGACATTCAGAATAAGAAATTTGCAACCAAAGTCGGCTCTAGATCGAGGTTCTTAGTTTGGATTTCCCTCTCCTGTAGATCACACACACTACATCCACACTACCGGTGTTGGGTTCTAAAGCTGGGTTGTTTTTGCTCGTTTTGGTCGGTTTTGGTGAGCCTTGAGCAAACATGGAGCTATATAGTCTTTATTCCTCTTCAATCAAGATTTGTTCGACGGGGGGTGGCGGGAAACTGGTTTTCAAATGATAGGCCCGAGCCAGGTCGGAGCCTGGTCTGAAATGGTCTGAAAGAGGAACTCGGTGGGTTGCCCCCAACATCCCCCACAGGCACTTCCTAGCTCATGATTACGGAGGGTATTTACGGGGGTGCTGGAACAAGGTCTGACCCTGGTCTTGGCCTAGAGAGAGGCAGGCACAGAACCAACTCCAAACAATAAGCAGGCACAGAACCAACCGCAGCAGCTGAATCCCTGGTCGCACCCGGTTGAAAGAAGCAGGGACAGAACCAACCGCAGCAACTAAACAGGCCTGACCCAGACATGAGCCTGGTCTGCACGAGGAACCGGGTGGGTTGCCCGCAGCATCCGCACAGTCATGATTACAGAGGAAGTCGAACCACAGCAGCTATAGATCCCCAGCCTCACCTGGCCCAAAAAGGGGCAGGCACATAACTTGGGCCAAACTCATCCCAACTTGGAGCAAACGAAAATTCAATTCCATACCTTTAGGTTTCCAATTCCATGCGAAAATGCTCCTGGAATTGTAGTGCCAAATGCGTGGAATGGGAAACAACTAAAACACATTGCTCATGACTACAAAAGGGTATTTGGGTGGGTGGGTGGGTGGGTGGGAGGGTGAGTGGAACTTCCTCTCGTTTTGGGTAGGTTCTGGTCAGGCTAGTCTTAACTCCTCTCGGCGCAGGCACCTGTCATAGCTCATGGTTATCCAACCACAGCAGCTAGATCCCTGGTCGCACCCGGCCCAAAAAGGGGCAGGCATAGAACATGGGCCATACTCATCCCAACTTGGGTCAAAAGGAAAGTTCAATTTCTTAGTTAATACGGTTTCTTAACACAATGACCATGCGTAGTCTTTTTTTTCTTCAACCTAGATTTATTCGACGGGGGGGTGGCAGAAACTTGTTTTCTCAAATGATAGGCCTGAACCAGGTCGGAGCCTGGTCTGAAATGGTCTGAAAATGGAACCAGGTGAGTTGCCCCCAGCATCCCCACAACCATAGCTCATGATCATAGATTTTCGTGCTGGCTGGGGTGTTGTAGAATGAGATCTATTTTCTGATTCTTGTTCACAAAAATGTGTGTATACATATATATATATACTTTAAAACTATGTTTTCGGAATCTAAACTTTAGATTTTTAAACCAACCCCGAAAGTAGAGTATAATTTCTTATTTAAGAAACTTTCTTAACACAATTATCAGCCGTACTTGTGTCAGATAGGACATGGGCATTCATCGCTGACATTCTTTTTGGACCAACTGCAGTGAACCTGATAGATGATAGAGGAGTAGAAGATGTGTACTCAATGTGCCCTCAGCTGACCGGGGCGAACCAACACTGGGCCGCTCTCCCTGGGCTGAGGGCAAATGGATGCAAATCGTTTTCACCCGTCAACATATCAATTTTGAACTGTTGGTCACACTTTGTTCGCAGTGTTTTGCAGCAACACCATGCTTGCAGCAATCTCAACCAGCATCATCCCTTTCAGCGACTAGAGCAAACGTCCAACGTCCTGCCTGTTTCGGCGCAGCTGGAAGCTGTGGTTCTACAGCTCCCATCGCACCATTCGGGGGCATCAGCTGTGGTCTCGCGAGCACACAGGGGTCTTCTAAGTAAAGATTGGGAAGGCAACATGACAACTAAAGTACTTGACTGCATGTATGTTATATATAGTCCTTTTGTATCCTTTTGTAAACCAGGGCGTTTCATTCAGATGATCAGTTTCCCCTCTTCGCACCATGCAGAGGTGGGGTCCGCGAAAACCACGAGGAGCTTCTATGGGCCCCAGTGCATAACAGTTGTGCACACCTGGTAGACCGGGACTAAAGAATGTAGGCACAACACAAAACTCGATTGAGGTCGGATGAATGTTTCTGCTTGTGTGAAGTCGCAAGGCTGACAACAGTACAAGTGTACAACTTGCAACTCCTTGCCAGTGCCATAAGGCAATACAACACAATTAGACACAAAGTTGGATAGGGTTCAGATCAGATGGCTCAGCAAATAGATCAAGGGCAGAGTTCAACACCCACGGATCAACTGCCAAACAAATCTCCAACATAGTGGTCGTCGAAGGAAGAGGCATTGGATCCCAACTAGGGAGAACAAGGCATTGAACACATGGGATACAAGCGTGCCCAAGTAGGGTGCAAGGCGCGAGAACACCACATTACTGTGGGGCAACAAACTTTTTCAGATCCCCAAGTGGACCTTGTTAATTTTTACTCACTTCTGGGATGTACATGATGGGATTCAATATTGGATTGGGCCATAAGAGGGTGACGTTTGAAAAGAAGTGGTTCAGGATGAGGTTCGATGGGGTTTCCATGAGTCGTTGCAGCAGTATATATATATATTATATATATACATACATATTTGTTGTTTTTTTGAGCATGAAAGGCATGTGCCCATTCAGAGTGCTGCCCTTCGACTCGGAGTAACGCATGTTATGATTACGATAGAACCCTTGAGATTTCCTATTGGTTTGGGCCAAAATACATGCCAAAATAATCCAAAATACATCTCCTTTTTGTAGCCTACAGCCTCATCAGTTTCAGAAATCAATGCGCTGCACGTGCAGACGGGGTTCCTGGCGGCTCCTTCCCTCATCAGATCCCGTCAGATGATCACTAGCCATTGACTGCTAGCCGCGACTGTTGCAGAGAAGAGGCTAGACTCAACAAGATTGAAATAGTTATACAGAAGGTTCTTTGATAGACGTGTTTGACTCCATTTCCTTCCCCAAATCTTCAGTGCTCCAAGGAACAGCGGCTTGGAAGGGCGGTTTTCCTGATAGGCAGGGCACATTTCAGGATCCAACGAGGTCCACTTCAGGTCGTTCACGTGAGTTGAAAACACCAGGCTTTCAAAAGGACTTTGATCATCAGGGCCCCCGAGGCCCCAACCGACCTTGTTTGCCGGGCCCCAGACCTTACGACATCTCATCACCGACATCTCAGCCTTTTGAGTGACATGCCGTGGAGGCCCAAAGCAAAGGACCTACCTCTCGATGTTGTACCCAGCTTCTCTAAGCCTGATGTTTGACGAAGTCAAGAAAGCCATTGCATCCGTCATACGGAATGAGGAGAAGGATCAGGCCCCGCGACAGCGAAGAGGTCATTGAGTTCGCAGAAAACAGCATTGGCAATAGCAGTTGCGCGACCCTTTTTTGAGTGCTCTTGGGGATCCTATCCCCAAGAGCACTCAACCCCCCAAGAGAGAGTTCGGCAAGGTGTGAGACGGTGCAAGTGATTTTAACAGGGAGTACAAAACCTCACTGAATCATGTGATCGTGGGTTGGAGGATCACCTTAAGTATCACCAACCTGTGGTTGACCATAAAGAGCCGTGATTTTCTCACCCCACACATGTGAATCAAACATGAATAGTCAGGCGAATCCAAGACCCTACAAACCCTAGTTTTCTGTAGAGCCAGCAAGTCAGATTGTCCGTTTGAACTCCGTTTGAACCTCCGCAGCCATGCTTGGAGTCCCTATCGCTCCTTCGAGGTGAGTCTGCCGAACGATTGGTCTGCGCAGCCGAACTTTCAGATTGTGTCGCTGGGCCCTTCGGTCGGGGGTGAAGGTTTTTCCAATGAAAACCTGTCTTCGGGTGGGGATTTCCCCTGCGATGATGAAGGGATTGTCCCAATCCAGGTGGAGACAGTGGGGTCCAACTCCAAACACCGACAGGGGGAAATTCACCGACTCATTCGGAAGCCAGAACTGCACTGACGAGGGGATGATCAGCTGAGAATCCTTCGACATGATCGACCAAGGTTAGGAGCGCGACTCCCAGACTTCGAATGGCACATGACCAAACACAAGATCGTGAAATTTCATGAACTCCTGGATCAGACAAAGGCGCTGGACTTCAGGTTGTGGGGCATGTTTGAAATGCTTGAAGCAACTCGAACCCCTGTAGAAGATGTTGAAGGCATTGCAACAGGGCTCAGCATCGTTCGGTTTTGGCAAGTTTAAGATGTGTACTCTTGTCATCTCTTGTCATCCCTTGTCTGGGTTGCTCAACATAATTATGTCATTATGTCCATGCTGTAATGCAGGCCATTCTTCAGCACGCGCAAATCGATCATGAAAAGACACGTGCGACATCGTGCGACACAGATTTTGCCCCAGCCCACACGCCGAAGGCAGATCTGACCCTGATGCCGCCTGGCTCTGGTGTTTGGTGCACGTGTTTTGTTCCAAACGAATGCCCAGAACATGACCTGAGATACCTGGCCTCGTCGCCAAGGCTGAACAGGGGCCCAAACTGCAGTCTTGCATTCCGCCAAGACTTGATGGTTTTGCAGGAAGCAGATCCACTTGATAAAGGCCCAGTGAGTTGGAATGGGTCCAGCTCGTCGCTCGGGCTTTCCAAAAGCCGAGGATGTTTTGGCCCGAGACCCCCAAGGAGCAGGAACTGCTGGAGTGTCTCGAGATGCTGCCAAAGCTGAAAAAGTGCGAGGCAGGCAAGGTCAGAGTGTTTCTCGGATTGCAACAGCACCGTTTCGGAGATCCCAAGCGATTTGCACATCTTTGCACCATTGAAAGGCAGCTTCACCAGGGTCCCTGGATTTTTGGTGGGATGTTTTAGGGAGATGCTTGGTGGTAGGGTTCGTTAGTTGTGCTCGTTTCAGTAATCTTGCATGAAGTTGCCAATTCAGGAGGGATTGTTGAATCACCCATGTAGGCAATATATGCTTCTGAGCCCTTCTCAGCTCTGGGCAAAAGGCATTCTGGCGAGAATCTGACAACCCGCATTTCATGGCTGTTGGCGCACTCAACATGTTGTTTTTGTTGTCTTTTTTTCATAAATAGTTTTGGAATGTTTTGGATGGTTTTGGCCTGACGAGGACCTGTCACTGCTTTGACCCGAAGTAGAAACAATCATGAGTGGTGTTCCACCTAAAAAGAACTTAGGTGGGTGGCCAATTCCATTCCTCATGTGTTGTTAGTTGTTTCCCTGGTCGGGATACGAGCTTTGAAAGGTGCTTGCATTCAGTATGGCTCTTCAGGCCCTAAGTTGGAAGCCCGGGATTTGCGGTGGTTGACCCCCGCTGGGAAGTTGACTGACGGACACTTGGAGCGGTCCCTCAGCTGGGCCTTCAAACGGCTTAGGTCCTAACGAAACCTCCGGAAAATGGACAGATATCCAGGTAAATCATCATGGGCCATATACATGCAGCTCTTTTCACGCAGTAAATCTATTCCCGAAGTGACCTCAAAGCTTTTGCATCCCTTTTTTAAATCCTGTTCACAACCGAGCAACCTGAGCTTAAGGATCGGAGTGACATATGGCGACATGAAAGAGTTTCAGACTCAAGTCGAGACAGTGAGAAGCAAGTTGTCTGACGAGATTCGAGATTTTGGATTTACCGTCATTGGGGTGCCTTGGCCAAAGTTGTTGGTTGTTCTGCTCGGAGAGTGCAAGCTGGTTTTGAATGTTGTGCTGGCCTAGCAGCCTAGCAAGCCCCTAAGTCCTAGTCAGAAAAGTTTTTAGAGGGTACTGGAGATTCGAAAGCTGAACCCTCCAATGGTCCAGTGCTGCTACGTACCTTTGACCGAATTGGCATTTGATGACACCCAGCAGCTGAGCAAAACCAAGGACACCAACCAACACATTGCCGGGAAGCTGGGTACTTCAGCTGCACCATCGGGTGTCTTCAACATGTCTCGAGAAACTTCTGCACATGTTGCTGCAGCCTTGAAGGTGATTACACCAGTATATCATATATCATTATATATCATATCAGTGTCGCCCAATGTAGGGCAATGGAGCTGCGCGTGGTTCGTTTTTTCTCTATTTGCCGTGCATCTTTTTGACATGGCACAGTTTCATCGCCCGGGTGTCTCGAGACCCCACGACTTTGACCAGGCTTTTGTGGACCGGAGGAGGACCTGGAAGAATTCACGCAGTCCAAGCTAGCGCGGACCCTCTTTGTGATTGACCGGAACAAGGCCTTACGACTTAGCTGCTTGACGGGTTCTTTTCTGTGTGGGTTCGCCTCGGAACAGGGGAGGCCCATTCGGTGGCCGGACACGGATGACGATTCCGATCCTTTGGAGTTATATAGTGATATGAGAGAGAGAGAGAGAGAAAAAAAAAAGAACAACGAGCCTACCAGGTAGGGCACTCTACGAGAGTAGGCACAGATCATTGAAAAGATCATGCAGATAATTTGGGCTGGGATTGGGGCTAGCATCATGCATGAGCTGTTCGAGCCTTCTTGAGGCTGCCGCGTCTCTTTGTTGTCCGAGCCTTCATCACTTCCATATAATATACATGATTGATAGACAGGATATGGCCAGAATAATTAGTACATCTAAGAATTTTGCTTTTTTGAGCCCAGTTGGATGTTCTTGCTCCAGGAAGCTACAGATGAACGACTTTGTGCATGTGCCCGGGTATCTCGTGGACACTCTTCTTCTTAACCATCAGAGTTCATTAAACCTCATTGCCCCAAATCGAGATCTGATTTGGGTATGGGTCACTTTGACACAGATTTGACTCTGTCCGTCAGATTTGCTTCGAGGCATGCAATTTCCCAAGAGTTTGGACTTCAGCTTCCAGGAAATTTCCCGTGCAGCGCTTAGCTGAGGCATTAGGAGGGTCATTTGGAGCAGGTGAACAGATCGTAGCTTCAGCTTGGACGACAGGGAGTTGCTTGCTGTGTACTTTTCAGACTGGATGACTGAATGCCCCCATGGTCCCATGGTTAAACGCAAAGCAAGCTCTATTCTGCCGTAGCATTGGGCTTCAGGGATTGGATGGGAGGTGAGGAAGGACCCCGTACCCACCGCAATACACGGTGAAGGGCCGGTGGAGGGAGGCGTTCGGTCGAGGGGCCGGGCAAGTCGTGCCACCCCAACCAGTGAGTTTTGGACATTTCTCTCCGCAGCAACCTCCTCAGTCAATAGATTGGAGGAGGGTCCGGAGCAACACTTAGAGAAGATTAGGACGTTCCGGAGAGGGTTTTGCGGGAGATCCGGGAGGAGGTTCCTCAGCAGATACCCAGAAAAGGTTCTGGAAAGTGCATGTTCCAAGAACACTCCGGACTCCACAACATAGTTGTCAAAATGTTCCGTAATTAGCCGTGCATTGGTATCATGTGGGTGTTTGCTCGGGCTATATCAGGGCCAGGCTTGGCTTTTCAAACCTTTTTTTTTGCGCTCAGGTGTTGTGAATGATATTGCCCAGGAATCCAAGCAGCCTTAAGTTGCAAAGTGGGGTCAAAGGAAGATGTTAAAATCGGTTAAAATCTGGTCCAGCAAAGCCACCTCGGCTGTAAGGGGTCTTTCTACATGGAGGGTAACTAGATGTGGCGTTCATCATGGTCCTATGGAGGTGTGTGATGCTTGAAAACGACGGAGGAACCACGTGGTGTTCATTCACTTTTCCCAATTTATTGGATAGTTCCAGTATTTACTATATATTAACACAAACACACATCCCAAGCACTAAGAACTGGAAGATGTTTACTCATTGGAGGTGTTTTTGCCACGACGGTGACCACGAAGGCTTCCGAGGTCTTTGCCCGAGGTTGGCTACTGAATCAGGCGTTTGGACACTTTCAACGGGTATGTTGACCCCTTCTCGTTTGAGCTGCTAGTTGACTTTGGATGGTGATTCATAGCTCAATCATGAATCCAAATTTTGCCTAGAGTGGGTTCACTATATTAGAGATCAAGTGACTTGAGTGGTGGCTAAGGTTCGTAGTTTGCTCAGGATTTCTTGACCATTACAATCCCAACTTCCCCCAAACCCACCAAAGAAGCCGATCGCATAGAAATGCTTCGGCCTGCCCCTCATGATGTCCCTCATGTTTAACTAGGTGCCCCTCCCACTACTGTTCATGGACGACATCCTGCACCACTGGGAATACCCCAAAGAACTGAAATTGAAATTCAGAACTCATCGTTACTCATTACATTACTCTCTCAGGACCTGACACAGGTGGTGCGGGAGGACTTTAATGGATGAAGCGCAATTTCATCCAGGTTCCACTCAGATTTTCCAACTCTCACGGGTCATCTTGTCTTAGGAGCAAAAAGACGCCTGGGAGTCGTCGCAGAAACAAAGAGAAGCGTGGGAGGTGCCTGAGTTGCAGGCTTCGGAGGATTGCATCGCCTTGTGTGGTGCGATCGATGGCAGAAGGATGTAGTGGATGAAGGGGGAGGAAGGATTCGCTGGCTCAGTAGGGTTCCCAAGTACCAGTGGTCTACAGATGATTGAGGAAAACATCGTGCTCCCAGGGTTTACTTCATTCAGCTTTCAGGTTCCTTCTGTGGTTCCTTAGTGAGATGTATCGACCAATTCTCTCGCCCGCACTTCGCACGGCAGTTTCCAATTCTTTTGGCTTCGAACCCTGTCTGACACCACGAACGAGACCGCTTGGGAGCGGCGGGTTCGGTTGTCGGATGGCCTAAAGAACCCTATGCTTTTGTTTCAGCATCCAATGGTCCCAAGGGTACAAAGATACACGTACAAAGATTCGACATCCAACTGAGGTGGTAGTTCACCATGGCTGCTCACTGTGATTACATAGACTGCTGTATGTCACTGAATGTCTAAACTTGCTTCGAATACAAACCCAAATGGTGGTCAACCACTATTGACGATGTTAATGCAATTCCTTGATTGAAAAAGGACTGGCAAATAGGTACAAAGTGCTTAAGAGTACGGCTGGGCATAGAGGTCTTGACACTTTTCTTGGTCAGAAGTTTGCTTGTACCCTGGGACTTGTAGTTGGCACCGTGAAATAGTTGCTTCCAAGTGGAGTTGCATAATCGCTGGTGGCAAGCAAGTAACAACACTGTAAGCCCTGGAGGGCCACTTGACGTGTGAGCTGCGTACACTCACAAGTTGACAAGCTTTTGAGCCGCAATAAGTTTTACATCCCACAGTCAGACTATCACCCCATCATCACTCCTGCATGCCTTCCCCTCGACACTGGAAGTTGCCCAAGATGAGGCCATCACACTCTGGGACAGTTCTAGGCAGATAGACCACAGTTGTGAGTCTGTTGAGAGACGCCAAGGATTTACTGGAGATCCCCGGTCACTCTGATCGAGCCAAATCGCACAGTGACGCCGGGCGGCATCAGCGGAGAAAATGATTGCTGCTTCAGTTCGGTGCACCAGCTGTGGTTTAGTTGGTACCGACATCCCTGGAAAAGGTGGCACAGTCATCCAGTTTAAACATATGAGACATGGGGTCCAGTTCCATCCAGTTCCAGTTGTGACCGGGGAGGCCGGAAAAGGCAAAATCAACTTAAAACTTAAAACCGGTGGTTAGAGGGCCTTTTCGGATCCAATACACTACCATATGTAATCTGATGTTGACTCTGAAAGGAAGGTGGCACAGCTTTTGTTGCTGATAGAACGAAAAGAGCCTGCCATGGGATGCCATAGGTGTGTTTCCAGGTACGAACAATTTCAAGGAGTGTCCAGTGTCCACCAATAGCAGGAACTGTTGAGTGTTCCATCAAAGATGCCCCGAGCGGCTTAGGTCTGGAGCCAATTCTGCAGCTGTGGGTACTAGATGTGTTGCTTCAAAGAAAGCATCCGTGCCCCCGGGCCAAACGACTGCCCCCGTGCCACACGACTGCCAAAGATGGGCACGTGCCGCGTGTGCCCGCGATCTGGGCGAAAAGTGGCGATGAGCCGTTTACCTGGTTGACTGGGTGCAAAACCGGCGACCGATGACTGGGTGATCTGAAAGCCTGACATACCGGATTCGTGGCCCACCATGGATTGGATAGCCTCAAAACATGCCCGAAACAACCATGGTTTTTGTACTACAAAACCAGGTCATGCCAAAACGGTTTTGAAGGTTGTCAGGATAGCCTGACCATGTTGGGGAGTCCATTTAGGCTCATTTTCGGGGGTCGACCACGGGGGTGTCATGACCCATGCCTGTCTGGTGTAGCTGACAGAATCCGCAAGCATCCACAAGCACTCGCTGGGCAGGATGAACCGCGCACGAGTTCACGAGCGCTGAGTGTGGAATTGAGCAGTGCAAAAGAGTGCCATGTGGAGTGCGCAACAGTTGGACTCTCGATTGGGGTGAGGAGTCGAGGAGAACCATCAAAATCCTTTCTGTCGACCAAAGGCATATTCTCAATGCAGACCGCGGACGGCCGGTTTTTGTCACCTGATGGAAATGATTTAATTGGTGGACCAGAGAACTTTAGCCTATCACAAAGGAAGAACAGACATCCAGTCAACTTGAAGAATTTTCTGCAGTTTACATCCCATCCCGTACATTTGAGACCTGAAGGCATGCAGCTGCTCGAGAATGGATGTGCGAGAATGTTGGCACTGTTGATGCTTTGATTGACAAGGGCTGTGCCACATCACCAAAGACTCTGCTGGAGATTTAATACGCGACGCCAGCTTCGCTCGCTTCGCTACTCAGATTTTACCAGATCCAACCGGGGGGAACCTTGCACATGAATGAAAACAACAAACATAAAATAATCGATACAAGTGTGCGGTTCTTGCGGGCTTTGAGGAACTTTCCCCCTGTTGAGACAGACAGCATCAACACTTTGCAAACTGAGTGGACAATTGAAGGGACAATCATCGGTGCATTTGGTACATGTGCAGAGACGCGCAGATGGAAGACGCGTACGGAAATTGTCTTTTGGGTGACGTGTTGGGGACACGAAGACATGTTCGGAATGTCTAAGTACAGAGGTACACGGTCGCATCCTCGTCCATTCAGGTTCGGAAGGAGCCAGCTTACAGGCCAGAATATCCATCATTGTGATTGATCTGAACAGGTCAAGAGAACCAGGCCAGGCCTATCAAAATGTGTGCAGATCATCACGAACCTTGGAAATCCTTTCTGTCTTTCTACAGACTTCCAAGATCTTCGAAGCGTGAAGCAAGTGTGTCGAGACTCCAAGGACAGGAAGGAGCTCGAAGGGCCACCACATATTTTTTTTTTGAGAAAGTCCTTTCGAAAAGATACGACAATCTAACCCACCGACCCATGTTTTCTCCACAAATCAACCAACCATCCTCAACATTCCTCAATCATCCAACCAAGCAGCCAGCAAAAGTGGAGAAGGAACAACTTATCAACCAACCAACAAGCCAATCCATAATAAGCCAACCAATAGCCAACCCACCAGTCTTGGCCAGAGAAAAACCGGGTAGACCAGAACAGCTCCCATGGACTTCGGTGGCTTTCCGGGCGGTGCCCGTGGCCCCAGCCACTCGAGTCATGCGGAGCTGGCGCAGCTTCGGGCG